GATCCCACAGGAATGGGATGAGCTTCAAGGTCCCTTCCAAGCCAAGCCATTCCATGGTCCTTTAGGGGAAGGAACAAAGGGATTCAGGATGAAGCAGATCAATGCATGAAAAGAGGAAGGAGGTGGGAAGGAGAATGTCACAGAGGGAGAACTGCAGAGTGGTTCATGTAGAAGTGAAGGACCTGGTGGGAAATCAAAGCACAAAATAGACCACAGCAGACAAGGGCTGCCCTGGGAAATACAGGAAAAAACATGGTAAAAATAGGAAAAATACCAGGAGCATTAGTGTGAGGAGGAGTTAGGAGGGCATGGGCCAGCCCCTCTGTGCCTCACTGTGTCTGACCACAGCTAATGGCAAAAGCACACTTGGAGTGAGCTCAGAGCCAGGAGCCTCCCCTGACAAGCACGGGGAGGATGCTGTGCTGTCCTGCTGGTAAAGCAGCAGCTCCTGAGCTGTGGGAGCCACAGCTGGGGAACATCCTTATCCCATTCTGGCTTCCCTGCAGAGCTATTGACAGGCTGCAGGCACTGGCTGAGCCACTTTGATGTATGCTCAAGAATTAAACAGAATTACTCCCAAGCTGATAGGAAACAAAATGCAGCTCCTTACAAGGCAACCGAGATCTTCAAAGATTTGGGCTTGGGAAGAGCCTTAGACACTGGGCATGTCACTGCCCTTTTGGGAGAGAGCAGATTGCAGAGGGAGGAGCAGGAGGAAGCTGTAAAACTCTGCTTTACATGAGCTGTCTGAGGCACAGCTACGGAGCTGGCATTTCAGAGGAAAAGGCAACACAACCCTTGCTTTTGGAAGTACTTCCAAGCAGGCTTAAGGACTTTAGGAGTTGTTATGTGTGGAGTCCATACAGCCGTCAGTCCATAAGTGCAAACTCTGATCTTTCCCCATGTGACTCCACACTGAGATGCTTCCTGTGGCCCACGTTCTGCACGCTCCCTTCTGTCAGATGTGACAGGATCTGCTTATCTCCAGGTGCCCCCATTGTCCGTGCTGACCCCAGGCAGATTTATGTCAGCGTCTGGCAGCCATAGGAGTTCCCTTCAGATGTTCTTTCTGACCTTTGGAACGCTCCACACAAAGCTCAAAGTGGCTCCCGCTTCCATGAATTGCCTGATCTCCTCAATGAAAGCCATAATTATGTTTTAATGATTTAATAATATTCTCCACTTCTATATTTTAAAGTCTATATTTAGTGTTTTTTAAGGTCAAGGCTCATTATCTCTGCAGTATTATTACATTGTGGCGCAGGAATATGCAGCCATTTATAGATTTTTGAAATCTGTAGTATGACAATTGGCACCACTGTCCCTGTGGCTCCCCAAAATTCCTGGGGCTCTGGGCTCCCACCAGACATGCACTTACTTGAAAAAAAAAAAATCACAAGATTTTAAAGCCTAGCTTACTCCACGCATTTGTGTAAACTAGCAAAGATGAGTTGCACTTAACTCGGACCATCATCACATAACACACTGGAAGTTGTTCTGTATTGGATACACGTTAATGTGGTAAAACAGCCAGAACACACAGCTTATCAGCTTTTACATTACATGTATTTTTACAGTGTGGGAGTGTCCTGGGGAGGGGAGGTGGTTTGTGGGGTGGTAGAGCCCCAGAGGGCAGTGTCAGAAAGGTTTGTGCGGCTCCAGGGGAGGCACAGGAGCATCCATCCCCGTCACTGCCCCCGCCCCGGAGCACCTGGAGAAGGGCGAGTCTGTAACATTCTTTTCTCAGTTTTACAGAGGCAGAAGACATCTGACATTTTTATCCGCTCCATGCAATAGAAAACCCTTTAAAGGGACCCGATCTCAGGGACAGAATCCGGTGCGGACCCGGCGCGGCTGCAGCGGCGGGCGGAGCGCGGCCGGAGCGGCGGGGACACACCGGGAGCGTCACCAAAAGAGCTGGCACTGAGCGATGCTGCAGCCAGCACCGAGGAGAAACAGCTCGGGAGAGGGGGCGGCCGTGGCCCGGGCAGAGCCCCCCGCACACTGCCCTGCCCCAATTCCCGCAGCGGGAGCTGAGCTGGACGTGCCCGCATCCCCAGCGCTGCACTGAGCCCCGGGCTGGGTGAATTCACGGAATCACGGCACGGCTCGGGCTGGGTGAATTCACAGAATCACGGCACGGCTCGGGCTGGAAAGGACCAAAAGTCACCTCGTTCCACTCCCTGCCATGGCAGGGACACCTCCCACGGTCCCAGGCTGCTCCAGCCTGGCCTTGGGCACTGCCAGGGATCCAGGGGCAGCTCCAGCTGTGCCAGGGCCTCACACTCTCACAGGGTACAGTAAAATTCTGTATAATAACTAAAATCAGGTTCTTTTGGATCAAAGGTGACATTAAGATAAAGAATTATTCATTAGAGAAGGAGTGTTCTCCCCATTACTGTACAAACCCAGCTGTAATTAAGCATCTGGGTGTTTATAAACAGATGTTCTCATCTAAATGTCTTAGAAATAAACAGCTTCGTTATTCCAGTTTCCCCAGACTACAGAAGGAGCTACAGCTCTCCTCCAGGCTGATGTTCTCCCACACATACACTAATATTTGAGTTCCCCAAATTGCAGGGGTAAGAGGCATCCCCAAATGCAGGAGAGTTTCTGCAGCAGGACATTCACAGAGCAATAGCGTAAACTTCCCAGGTCCCAGCAGCACTTTGGGATTTCATGCTTTGAGAGAGATCATTGCCTTTATTGAACAGCCAGGACCTCTGCAACAGCCCTGCACTGGTGACAGAGGTTTCACAGCCTCTGTGAACACTCTAACTTCTGCTATTCCAGTTCCCTTGCATGGGAAGAAGCGTTTCCTGAGAGCTGTAAATCCATTGCATCATTCAAAATGCACTGCAAGACAGTTTTGAGGGCTGCTTTAAACACATCTTTTAAAAATGGGGAAGAGGTACAATTTTTAGAACCATTTTTCACAACTTGTGGGGGAAAAAATAATGTTAATGTAACATTTTGTGCATGTGTTTTGCATTTTAAAAGTAAAACAACTGCTTCCAAAAGTCAATGTGGCCCCAAAAAAAACTTATAATTAAAAAAACCACAAGATGATATATAATTGTGCTGTAAAATCTCAATCTTGTCCAAGCCTCTGCCAAGGCAGGGTCACCTGGAGGTGACACAGGAACATGTCCAGGTGGGTTTGGGATGTCTTTAGAGAGGGAAACTCCAGCCCCTCCCTGGGCAGCCGTTCCAGTGCCTGCCACCCTCCATGGAAGGAAGTTCTTCTTCATGTTGAGGTGGAACTCATTGTGTTTGAGTTTATTGCTCCTTGTCCTGTCACTGGCACCAGTGAGCAGGGTCTGGCACCATCCTCTGCCAGCCCTTGGAGATGTTTGTATGGATTGATGGGATCCCTCTCAGTTTTCTCCTGACTAACCCAGCCCAGCTCTCACAGACCCTCCTCCATCAGAAAGATGCTCCAGACCCTTCAACATCTTTGTGGCCTCTGCTGGACCCTCCCCAGTCACTTCTTGTCTTGCCTGTAGAGCAGAGCCCAGAGCTGGACACAGGCTCCAGCCGTGCCACGCCAGGGCCAAGCGGGAGCATCTCCCCTGCCCTGCTCTGCCCTGTCCACTCTGTCCTGCCCAGCTCTGCCCAGCCCCATCCACTCTACCATGCTCTGCCCAGCCCTGTCTGCTCTGCCTGCTCTGCCCAGCCCTGTCCACTCTGCCCGCTCTGCCCTACCCAGCTCTGCCCATCCTGCCCTGCCCAGCTCTGCCATGCTCTGCCCCACTCTGCCCTGTCCAGCTCTGCCCATCCTGCCCTGCCCTGCCCCGCTCTGCCCTGCCCAGCTCTGTCCACTCTGCCCTACCCAGCTCTGCCATGCTCTGCCCTGCCCCGCTCTGCCCTGTCCAGCTCTGCCCCGTCCAGCTCTGCCCTGTCCAGCTCTGCCCGTCCTGCCCTGCCCTGCCCCGCTCTGCCCTGCCCAGCTCTGTCCACTCTGCCCTGCCCAGCTCTGCCATGCTCTGCCCTGCCCCGCTCTGCCCTGTCCAGCTCTGCCCCGCTCTGCCCTGCCCAGCTCTGCCCCGCTCTGCCCTGTCCAGCTCTGCCCCACTCTGCCCTGTCCAGCTCTGCCCTGCCCAGCTCTGCCCCGCTCTGCCCTGCCCAGCTCTGCCCGCTCCGGCCCGGGCCCGGCTGCACTTGCCCGTCTCGGCCAACAGGTCGCACCGTTCGCCCTCGGCTGGGGCTGCCCCGGAGCCGGGCGGCGGCGGCGGGGCCGGAGCGGGGCTGGGCACGGCACAGCCGAGCCGAGGCGAGCCGGGGCGCGGAGCAGCTCCGGCCGCGGCCGCCCCTCGCCGAGCCGCTGACTCCACTCCCTCTCCACGTCGGGGAGGCGGAGGGAGGGAGGGAGAGAGGGAGGGGACGGGGAGGAGGCGGCCGCCGCCGTCCTCCATTTTGTGGCGGGGGCAGAACCGCCGAGCGCGGCGCTGCCCGGCGGAGGGACGGGGCGGGGAGCGCAGGGGGGCGAGGTCCGCGGCGGCAATTAGCGCTAATTAACGGAGGGGGCGCCGCGGCGGCGGGCGGGGACGGGTCAGGGTCTGGGGCCCGCGGGAGGAGCAGCGGCAGCGGCCGGAGCGGCATCAGCGGCGGCGGGGGGAGCGGTGCTGCCGCCGCCGCGGCCCCGAGGGGCGGCTGTTGACCCCCCCAGCCGGCTGCCGCCCCCGCCCGGGGCGCCATGGCCGTGGGCGGCTGAAGGAGCCCCAGCGCCCTCCCCCGGACGAGGTAAGGGCGGCGGGGGTCCCGCGGGGGCTGCGCTTTTCCCCGGGAACTTGCCGGGGGGGGTGCGGCGGTCCCCGCAGGAATGCCCGGGGCGGGGGGAGCCGAGCCGAGCCGCCCCCGGAGGAGCCCGGGCCGGGACGGCAGCGGGAGCGGCGGCGGGGCCGCCCCGGCGGGGCGCGGGGACCCCCGGGCCGGGCCCCCGGTGTCCGTGTCCCGGGGGAGCGGGGGGCGCGGACGGGGAGCGCGGCCGAGCCCCGCGCGGGGCTGCTGCTGCTGAAGTGGGTGTGCCAGGAGACGGCTCAACAGGTCCCGACACATTTCTCTGAAAACTGTACTTTGCAAAGGCGATTTTATTGCAATCCGGCGGTTTTAAGTATTTGCAGCGTTTTCCGCCCTTGGGCAGACTCTCGCAGCTGATTTTTGACACGTTTCCTACGCTGGATGATTCGCTGCCTTGTTTTTTTTTGGGGCGTTGGGGGAATTGTCAAATGAAATAACTACATTTTCCCTCCCCTTCATGTAAAAAAGGAAGAAGGCAGCGCTGGAGGTATTCTTGTGTTTTCTGTATTTTTTCCGGTCGCTGTCGGGTGTCCACCTTAAGCAGCGCAGCTGCGCTTCGGGGCGCTCCGCGGGCCGCGCTCGGGGCTGCGGCTGCCGGCGCTGCGCTCCCCGGGCAGCGCGGACGGGACCCCCGCGGCCCCGCTGCCGGCAGCTGCTGGCGCTCAGCCGCTCCCGCCCGGGACGAGCTCGCCCGGGCCACCTTAAGGTTTTACACGTGGGGCCTTTTTGCCGCTCGCAGCCTTAACTTTGCACACAGAAATAGCGGCGGGGCCGCGGCTGTGGCGGTGTCCCCGTGCCCGCGGGAGGGGACAGGCTGGCAGTGCCCCCCGGACTGCGGCAGAGCGGGCTGGGCGCTGCCGGGGCAAGGCCGGACACCGTGTCGGAAGTTTGCCGAAGAATTTACAGTATTTCTCCAAATATTTATGCTCTCCGCTGAAAAAAAAAAAAAACAACAACCAACCATGTAGCAAATACAAACATCTGAAACTTACGAGGTTTGTTTTCAGTGTCGGGTGTGTTTGGAGAGTAGCCGTGAACGGGTAGAGTGCTGGAAGCTAATAAAAATCCTGCTTTATTTTTAGCTAGATTTTATTTATAAATTTGAGATGTATTTAAAGAATTATGCGGGGTTTACTGCGAGATGGGTGGGTTCCTTTTTAAGACTGAACCCGTGCAAAGGTGGCAAACGATGCGTTTTGTGGTGGGGAGGTCGAGTCCTGGGGAATGCCAAACCACGGAGGTGCCGCCTCTGGGAGCTCCGGACCTGCTCTGCAAGGGGAGAGCTGACTTGGAAAGGTGGCAAATGTTCTTTTTCCCTGCTCAAGGTGTGGTTAAATATCAGAGAAATTTACCTGGCAAAATTTGTAAACGGGGTCTTTCAACAATTCTTAATTTCCTTAGTGCTGGGATGGGTGACAGAGCTGGAGAGTGTGTGCACAGATGTCACGTGCTGTAGCTTGATTCAGAGTTGTGTGCAGGCAGACTTACCCTTTCCTCCAGGTTTAGCAAAGCTTTAAAATACATAGTTCCTCCTCACTAGACAGAAACCAAAACCTAAAACCCCCTGAAAACAAGGGCAGTGTGTCTGAGAGATGTGGCACGTGCCAGCCCCAGAGCGTGGTGTGCCGTGCCTTCGCTCTCACAGCAGCTGAGCCAGGTTCGCCAGGCGAAGGATTTAGACTTTTCATTTTAAAGCTTTTATTAACGTGTCCTTGCTGTGCTGACTTTGACTGCTTCTCATCTTTTTATAGTTAATGGTAAAGTAATGGATTCCAAAGAATTGCTTAACCCGTTGGATCAAGATGAAACCAGGAAAAATGCACTCATCAGTACCAAAGGAGGGATCGTGATGGACTTCCATCCACCCTTCAGGGGTGGAGCTACTGTCCAAGCCCCTGTGTCTACATCTCCTCTCCCTGCATCTTCTCAGTCAGATTCCAGTCAGCAACCTGCTTTGGCTGACTTTCCAAAAGGATTAGGAAACAATGTGCCTCAGCCAGACCTTTCCAAGGCAGTGTCGCTCTCGATGGGACTGTACATGGGTGAAACAGACGCAAAAGTGATGGGAAACGACCTTGGATTTTCGCACCAGGGCCAAATCGGCATCTCTTCTGGAGACACGGACTTCAGGCTCCTGGAGGAAAGTATTGCGAGCTTGAACAAGTCCTCGAGCCTGGCCGAGGACGCCAAGGGAACCGCGTCTTCTGAGGTGCCGCTCGAGCCGGATTTCCCAGGCATGGCCGGGCGCAGTGGCCCCGTGGAGTCGGGAGCTGCGGTCCAAGGCCAGGTGGGCTCGAATGGTGGCAACTTGAAGTTGTTCTCTGAAGACCAAAGCACCCTGGATATCCTCCAGGATTTGGAATTGCCGCCGGTGTCGCCGGGCAAGGAGCCCAACGGGAGCCCGTGGCGGCTGGACCCGTTGCTCGATGACGGCGGCCTGCTCTCCCCCATATCCGCGGACGACGCCTTTCTCCTGGAAGGAAGTCTCGGCGAAGACTGCAAGCCTCCTCTTTTATCTGACACTAAACCTAAAATTAATGACCGTGGTGACCTTTTACCCAGTTCCAAAATGCCAATGCCCCAAGTGAAAACAGAAAAGGAAGACTTCATTGAACTGTGTACTCCCGGCATCAAGCAGGAAAACATGGGCCCGCTTTACTGCCAGGCCAACTTCTCCGGGTCGAACCTGCTGGGCACGAAAGTCTCGGCCATCTCCATCCACGGTGTCAGCACCTCTGGGGGACAGATGTACCACTATGATTTAAATACTGCGTCGCTCTCTCAGCAGCAGGATCAGAAACCAATTTTTAATATCATTCCATCTCTTCCTGCCGGGTCAGAAAATTGGAATAGGTGCCAGGGATCGGGGGACGAGGCATTGGCTCCACTGGGAACGCTCAACCTCTCTGGCAGACCTGCTTTCTCTAATGGCTATTCAAGGTAATTAGTTTGTGTTGCTCTTTATTAAAATGCTACAAGTGTGTTTAGCACAGCTCCATGCATGCTGGTTTGTTGCCTGGGCTTTTTTCCTTTTTTTTTCCTTTTCCATTTGGTATGTGTGGATGATCAGACATCACTGGGGAGTGTTTATCCCACAGTACAACAGCAGCTTTAAGCAACTACTCAATTATTGGTATTAAAGGGAAGAAAACTTGAGGAGAACTGGCATGGTCTAAAAAGTAAATAAATAAAAATAAAACTTCCGAGATACAGCCTAGAGGGAGAATCAAGTATGTGGTAGCAGGATCCAGGCAGTATGGGAGGAAGTATTTAAATGTATACAAAAGCTCCTTCGTTCCCAGGGGTTAGAGGATCAATCACTGTGGGCTTTTTTTCCTTCCTAGCATTACTTAAATGTTATGCACAAAAATAACTTGGTTGCTGGGTAAATTTCTAGAATTACATTTAAGCTGAACTCGAGTTTTCACTGTGCTCGGTATCGCATTTACCTTACATGGACAAGAAGATTCCGAGTGGGAAACACTCAGCAGCTTGTTCAATAACTGCCTTTAAAGAGATAAGAGTGTTTGCAGTCGGACTTAAACATACCTGGAATTTAACTCCAAGCAGGACGGCAGGCGGGGCTGTGGGGAGCTGGGTCCTACCTGTGGCCGGTGCCTTGGTGGGTGTGTTTCCTGGAGTAACGCAGAGGTGCAGCTGTTGCAGGGAAGTGCTGCTGGAGGAGCAGCTCTGGGACAGTTTTGGGACAGCTCTGGGACAGGCGTGCTCGGCTGTGCCCCCAGAACTGTTCTGCTTCCCGGGAACACCCAGCTGTGTGTCTGTCTCCCCCAGCTGCTCTGTGTTCCACAGCTCCTCGCACAAGCAGCGTGTGGCCGCCACAGAAGAGGGGGATTTGTGGAGCCTGTTAGAAAATGGCCCTGCAAGTGCCTATAGAGAAACCCGGCATTTGTAGGCTTTTCATGAAGGATCTGGTTCAACATTCTGGGCTTTACTGCTCTGCTGACAATTGGATCCCCAGGGTGCTCCCGCCAGTCCCGGGGCTCTCCCTGCACGATGTTTGCTCCATTTTCCCATGGCTGGAATGAAGTGTGCGAGGATTCCTTCTTCGTGTCAGGAAAACAACTTTTAGCTTGCTTTCGTTCTCAGTTTCTTTCATAGATTTTGATTTCTGTTGTAAATGTTTTCTTTTTTCTTTGGAGCATTTAAAGTTGTTTTTTCTTTAAAGTGTTTCAATTTCTAATGTAAGAGATCCAGAAAAGAAAATAGAAATCTGTGGCTAGACTCCACTTTGACATGTGAATATTGAGCATGTCTCACCATTTATTTCGACAGACTAGAAATGCTTTGCGCTAACCCTTTGCATCATTTGTCCAATTCCGTGTTGTGTTCAGTTTGTTTCATGGGCGTTTTTTTGAGTTTATTTCCTCTGTTCTCACTGTATCTCCAATGATAATCATAAACTTTGTGTCAAAGCAAGAAATGTCTCTGCGCTGGGGAGGAGGCTTTCAGGGACAGTTTAAAAAAGCAGATTGCCCCGAGGTGGTGAAATGTCGCTTTTGAGGGTAACTCGGAGGAGGTGCTGCCCGGGCTGTGCTGTGCAGAGCTGCGGAGGCAGAGCCCGTGCCCGGGTGGGTACCAGGGGATGTGTGCCCAGCCCAGGGGAGCTGCGAGCCCAGCAGCGTGTCCTGGGTGTGATCCTGCAGGGATGGGCAGCTCCTGGGCTCCGAGCGTGGCACAGCTGTCCTGGAGCGGGAGGAGCAGGGGGAGATCTTTGGGGCAGGGCTGGCAGTTCTGGGACAGCGCAGGGACTGTCCTGGAGCATCCCAGCACCAGCTGCCTCCTCCGCTGCCAGGGTTATCCATGCTGGGGCTTCAGCATTGACGTTCTTGCTTCCTGCAAGGTCATCTTACATTTTATTGCTTCCTTTTTTGCCTTATTTGTAAGATAATGGGGTTTTTTTCTTTATGGAATGTGTAAAGAATTTCGAGGTGGCTCCTAGCTGAGCTTTGCATAAAAATGCATTATTCACAAGTTTGTGGAAGCTGTTCTTACTTCCCGAGGATTTTTATACACTTCAACTACAAGTCCAGTTCTAAAAACAGCATTGTTTGGGTTTGCTTTATTATTTTTGTTCTATAATATTCAGGCAAGTCCATCTTCCTTTTACAGTGTTTGAGGTATTAATGAACTCTGGGTTTGAAGCAGGAATTTTTTTTCTTCTTGAACCTTGCCAGAAATATTTGGTCTAAACTGGGTTAGTTTAAGGTGATGTATTGTGGATTTGTTTGTTTTTCTTGCAGAAGACTTAACAAAATTGGCATTTGTTTTAGAAACAAAGGAAGGACTCTCTTGCCAGGTTCCCGTGGTCTGGTTTTTTTTAGGTACTAAATGTGAGAGGTGGAGGCTGGGATTTTGAGAAGCTTCAGTTTCCAGGAGGAAATACTTTCTGGTGTTTGTAGAATTATTTGTCTACTAATATCATATTAATTGTGGACTGAACATTGGGGAAGAAAAGCTGCAGTTCAGCCCTGGTGTTCAGGTTGTATTTAATCTGCCTGTTCAGTGGGAAACCTGGAATGTTGTTTTCTGTGCACTCAGGCTGGAATTGATGTCATGCCATTTCTGAGTGGTTTTGCTCCTCCAGGTAGCCCAGCATGCTGGCTTTAATGAGACAAGTGATGATCAGGCCCAAGAAAACCAATCAATTGCAGGGAACTGCAGGAGGGATGCGGACGTTAACAAGCAGAATGCAAACTTCAGGAATTTGATTGATGGGAATGAATTGGCAATAATCAATAGGCTGCTGTCAGTGGAAGAGGCAGCTGGGGCTTGTGCTGAGCTGCTGAAGCCCTGAGCTGCAGCTCCTCAGCCCCCAGATCTGAGCAGATCTGGGGAGGCTCTGGTGGCAGGACAGTTTTGTCTGGGATCCCTCGGGGTCTCCCCTCTGAGCAAGTGCAGTCCATGAAGAGGGTGGACAGAATAAAAGGCAGGAAGAAGCAGGATAACAGACATTTTACCTTAGATTGTCCTCAGTGGCAGCGAGACAGCGGCTGGAAGAGGAGCAGATCGTGCTGCAGTGCTTCACTGAGGATCTGGAGGGTTTGCTGGCGTCCCTCTGCGATGGGATGTTGCTGTGATTTATTACACAAACCCAGGGAGAACCGTTCCATTTCAAGGAAATGGTTTTAGCAACACACACTTGTGGGGCTCTTGCATGGTATATACATTAAACCCTTCGCTCAGCTCCTATTGCTCTGACTTCCTGGAGATGTGGCTTGTTGTGGGGGGAGTGAAGGATGCTGAGAACCAGCCCAGCAATGCAGGGTTTGCTCCCACAGCCAGAATTCACAGAAACTGGGCCCCACTGGCAGTGTTATGGCTTCTCTTATTACAGTTAAAATCATTCCTAGTACTTAAGCTTGTGGGGGATAAGGATCATTAAGGAAGTTTAAGAAAGGGCAAGAGCTGAGAGAAGCCATTAAAGAGGAGGAGAGTCTGGGAGGAGGAAAAGTTTCGCTGCTCGGTCCCCGTCCAAAGCCTTGCTTCCAAAAGTTACCCTCCTGCCCTTCTCCCCTTGGCTCTTTAACTGGGATTCTTCTTGGGCTCAGGTGCTGTGAGAAGGAAGGGGAAGGAAGGGCTTGTTTGCCAGCAGTGGTAAAGGTCAGCTGTCCGTTTGTCTTGCCGCTTTGTTTCCCTCGGCTGCTGGCCAAGGCCGGTGGCTTGGCAGGGCTGGCTGCAGAGCTCTCCGCGCTGCCTGACTCAGCAGAGGATAATGTATGGGACATCCGCAATCGGGGCTTTTTTCATCATTCTGCTCTGATAGAAAACCCAGGCGTGGTGTTTGGAGCGCTCAGGGTTCCAGCAGGCTGTGTTGGGATTTGTCAGCTTCATGCAAGAGTGTACTTGGGGCTTTGACTCTAGAAGTACACGGCGAAAAATCCAGTTGTTTTGGCAGAAAGGGGTGAATCAGGAATGTCCTGCAGAATGTGCTCTAAGGTGCTGTGGAAAGGTAACTAGATAATGGGAGGTCATGTGAGATGTAATCCACTTTTCCCAGTTTTGGCTGATCTTCCATCGAGCTCATAGCCAAGGAGGTTGTTGTAAGTCCAGTCCAAATGCTTAACTTCTGAAATTTATTTCTCCTGACAATGATCTCTGCGTTAAACTTAATTCTGCCTTATAAAGCAACCTTATTTTTGTTGTCCGTATAATTTTTTTTTAATTTATTTCCATGGTTAAACCCCTTGTACTCTCCTGCTGCCAGTGAAGCCAAAGCTGTGGTTGAATGAGTCCTACTCACGAATCTTTCCAGAAATGTGAAATACAGGTATTATCCAACTCCTACATTGTATATTTACCATGCTAAAGATTACTTTTACAGTGAGAGCAATTTATCTTGGGGGAAGCAAATTTCCCTTCTTCCCTTATTGCTGCTTATTTTGGAAGTGAAAAAGTGGCGCATATTCTGTGTATATCTAACTGCAAACTGGAATTATTTCTGCACTGTAAAAGGTTCCCAAGTCCTCTTTGGACTAATATTCATTTTTGGGGTGGTTGAAGCCAGCCCGAGCTACTGTCCCACCCCAAGGTGCTGCTGTAGTGTCATGTGTGCATTCTGCAAACAGTCCCCATGGCATCAGTCTAGGGGAAAACAACATCCCAATAAAATCCTGTTTTCAATTCAAGTTACAGGCGATGGGAAAAGCTTTGTAGAGCTGTAGTTACAATTACCTTGGGTTTGTGCTGATAAAATAACTGTGAGCATCACCTCTGGTGTAGGCAGAGGAACCTGGAAATGCCTTTGTGAAGTGATCAGCTGGGAGCTCAGGAGCACAGAACAAGTGTGTGTGCAACAGGGTGGTTTCTGGGCAGAGCACCTGGGTGTGCTGGGTGCTGTGCACCAGACCCAGGGCGTTTGGCTTAAGCTCTCTTTGGTTTCCCAGCCTTTGTCTCCCAGAATCTCAAGTGTACACAGATTT